CCAGCAAAGGTCAGGCTTCAGCTGCCTTGTTACCCCAACTGTTCCTACTGGCTTCAGCAGAATAAAGCTCTGAACTCAGTTCTCTCCTCCTGAGTAGGATCAGCTGCTGGGATTTTGCTGTGCTGCTATGCATGCATTCCATCTTCTGGTTCACGTTTATGCTCAGACTCATGAACTTCTCCATTCTTGGGGTCCCAGGGGTGACTGTGGGAGCTTCAGAGGTACATAGACTAAGTGGCGCATAGTTCAGGCTTCTGCTAGCTCCCTGCACATAGCCACCTGAACTCCAGCTCAGTAAAACTGGCTGTTACATGGGTCAAAACAGTGTTTATTATTCAGTAAGATTACATATCTTGATTATCAGTAAGACAACAAAATACACACAATAAAGTTGGTTTAATCAATAAAAATATCAGAAGAATGCAATTGTAGTATTAGAACTTTAAAGGGAAAGCACTCATAATTAGAACAGAGAGTAAAACAATTAGAAGATGAAGATACAATTCGTAATTTGTAGAATAGGTCTGTTGAACTAGAAAAGTTGGAAGATCAGTTAGAGGGAATACAAAACAAAGGAAGGAAGCAAAACTTGTTCAGAGGGATTCGGGAAAATATAGACTGAAAAGTTCTAGTGGTTTCTTGGAGGAGATTTTGAAGTCTTACCTATCTATTGAACATAGTGCAGCAACCGATATTGAAACTAAACAACAAACAGGTAGTATTACTGCTAAGAGACCAGAAAAACCGCATGATGTATTACTTACCTTCACTACCCTACAAATCAAAGATTCTATTTTGAAATATGTGGGAAGGGGGGAAAATGTATGGGTAGATAATAAAGAAATACAAATTTTGCACGACCTCCACTCAGACACTCTTGTTAAATGGAGACAATTTGCACTTCTGACACAAAAACTTAGGAATTGGGGTATCAGACATACTTCACATTTTCCCTTTAAATTAAATGTTTATGTACACAATGAATGGATGTCAGCTGAAACAGTCCATGAAGCCCAACAGTTACTGGACTCCCTTGAAAGCTCTCCTACTTGAATTTCTGCTTCACACAAAAATAGTTCTAATAAGCTTTTTTGGGGTCTTATAACAGGCTTTAAGAATTAGTCATGAAATCTTTTAAAACTATATTGATAAATATTAAAGGTCTTTAGTAACCTAAAGTATGCTAGACTTTTTAGACATGAAAAGGTAGGTTTTCTTTTTCTTTCCCTTTTTTTTACAAGAAACACATTTGCACCTGTCATTTCCCCAGAAAGCACTTTCCCAGGGGCACCTTCTTTGGGGGGCCGTAACTCAGTCCCCGTAAATCCAATCCTAACCTTGGAGGGCCGGTAGAGGAGAGTCAGTCAGAGACCCCCTGCAGGTTTGGTGTCTCTAGCTCATACAGGATCCATTCTATACACTCCTGAACCTGCGCCTGTCAAAATGGCCACCTGTCAGTTTACCATTGTAAACTGTGTAAGCTACAGACAAAAAAAGTCACAAAGGACCTCCCCTTGATGCTCCTCTACATGCCCTCCAAGTTCAACCCCTCCTGTTGCTTTGAAGTGCAGTAAACATTTAGATAGAGTGGAGACAGTTTGTTTGGAAATGTATCTGTTCACAAACCAGAGGCTTCCGGTCGGGGTAAAATGGCGATTTAACGCACCCTGTAAGTGCTCAGGGTGGACGGTGGTTCCTTTCAGCGGTTTGGACGATTTATTTGTCCAACGCAGCTTCCCCCAGGCAGGGGGAATGACCGGCAGGCATCAAGACCCAAGTGAGAGTTGAGATTGGTGTGATCAAGCCTCAGAGGAGGCTTGTGTTACACTTTGATCCCCTCTCCCGAAGCGGGCATTGCGTACAGCACTAAAGGATGACACCGAGCTGGGATGTCAGCTTAAAACCACCATTTCCTGACCTCATGAGACAAAGGGAAAGAACTTGGACCGAAGGAGGCAGTGCGAAAACCAGAGATAAACAAGCAAGGTAACGAATATCATTTTGCTTACCGGGAAACAGCTGAAGGCGATTGTTGAAATATTCGGACAAGCGATAATGAACTTTAAAAGCATTTGAGCAAAGTTGGAGATTTAAAAAGGTTGATAAAAGAAGCAAATTTATATAAAACTGAAACTGTTTAACATTCCTGTGGCGGTGGGAGAGATAAGAGACTGAAACGTCCGAGAAAATGCGAGATTACGAGAGGGAAGATCCCGAAATAAACAAAAAAGGCGGTGTTCCGGAAGTGACAGAGAGGGAGACTAGAAGAGACGCAGAAGTGCGGACAGACAGGAATTCGGAAGACTGGAAGAAGATCGGAAGGTAAAGAGACGGACCGGAAAAAAAAGGGGAGGAAGAAAGAAGAGGGACACCAGAAACTCGGAGGAGGAAACGAACAAGCGGACAGACAGGAAATGATAGAGGGAAGCGGACTACTCTGGTCTAGAAAACCACAGAGTTGAAGCGCCCGACATTTTTGGGAGGACTAACTTTTAAAATTAAAATTTCTGGCTGGGACTTAAAATCTGAAACAAGAAAATAGAGTGGTTCGGCTAAGCTAATAAAGGACAATTGAACTGTGTAAGTGAAATTTTATTCTAAGTTGGTAGAGTTTTAACAAATTTTAACAACGAATTTAAGACAGAGACAGAGAGCAGCTACATGGTCGAGCCCGAAGATGGCTAAAGTCAAAGACAAACAGGAATGGCAAGCAGCAATGGAGGCTATGGAAAAAAGGATGATGGAGGCTATTCAAGGATTGGGAAAGCAGATGGAGGAAGTTCAGGACAAAAACATGGCCACAATGAAGGAGCTGGTAGTGTCAGAGGTGGCTGAGTTTAAAAAAGAAGTGGGAGAAATTAAAAAAGAATCCCAAAGTCTAATCACAAAAGTCTGCTGAAATAGAGCAAAAAACACAAGATATAGACAAAAAAGTTGAAACAGTGGTGAAAGAAAATCATCGGATTGATACAATGATGGAATATAGAGCTATGCAGACCCATCTCAGATTGAGAGGGGTTGAAGAGAAATTAGATGAGAATATCCACATTAGGGTAATTGAAGCCTTTGCAGATTATCTACAAGAAGAATTTGATGATATAAAACACAATTTTGACTTGATCTACAGAGTGAATTCAGCTTATGCTCAACAGAAGAATCTGCCAAGGGATGTGATCGTACAACTGCTAACTAGACGGATGAAAGAGGATATATTTAGGAAGTAATTCACTGAACCACTGGAAATGGAAGGAAAAAAGATAATAATAATGAAGGAACTTCCTAGAGCAATCATCCAAGACAGGAAAAAATTCCGGAGGCTAACAAATAAATTGAGGCAGTTGAACATAAGATATAGATGGGAAATACCACAAGGAGTAAGCTTTAACTACCAAAGTCAAAGACAGACGATCAAGACAGTGGAACAAATGCTCAGATTTATGTTTGATAATTCCAAAGACTTTGGAGATAAGTAAATTTGTAACACTATGGATTACAAATTAATATCATGGAATGTAAATGTGGACTTAATTCACCTAACAAAAGGAAAATTGTGAAACATTGGCTGGGAAAACAAAAATGTAACATAATTTGTTTGCAAGAAACCCATATTAAAAAGCAAGATTTTAAATATTTGGTTGCTAAACAATTAGGAGAAGAATTTTACTCATTGGCAGGGAAAAAGAACAGAGGGACTGTAATATATATTAAAAGGAATTTGAACCCAAAGAAATGTTCAAAGACAAAAAGGACGATATATTGCCGTGGAAATGACTATGCACCAAAAGAAAACCCTGATTGTAAATATTTATGCTCCTAATGGAGCAAAAGAGAAATTTTTCAAAGATTTGACACAAGAATTGGACCAGCTGACCTATGATCAGATTGTACTAACAGGAGATTTTAATGGTATGATCAATAATAAACTGAACTGGAAATCTAAGAAATTGGATTAAAAGATAGGGAAGTTACCAAAAGTTTTTTTTTTGTTGGTCAAACAAGAAAAGTTGGAGGACTTATGGAGAAAATGGAATCCCGCAACTAAAGACTTTACATTTTACTCTAACAGACATGACTCCTTTTCTAGGATTGACATGATATGGGCGACTGGAGACATAGCTTTAAAAACACTGAAAGTGGAAATTATTCCAAAAGTAAATTCAGACCACAACCCAATATTATGGATATCTAAAGAGGGGAAGAGAAAACCTAGATGGTGATTGAATGAAGATTTGTTGGATCAACAAGAGATTGTAAACACTATAAGTAAAGAAACTAAACATTTTTTTCTTTTTTTTAATATATATTTTTATTGGTTTTTCAGTTCCATGCATACACCCAAAATATATGTGCATAAATATTCCATCCAGTTGTTACCTTATACAAATTATTTCTATCCAGCAACAGTAATACTTAACATACAAAAATCCCTTAGCTCTGTACCCTGACCTCACTCTGATCACATTATACATCTATAAACAATGTCACCTAATTTAATTTGCCTTTTATACATCATCAATTTTTCCATCCGGAGTAGATAGAATCTTTTCTTTTACACCAATGGGAGTTCGTCTCCAGCCTCTCCTCACTGCTTCTTAAAGAAGTCTGTC